ATTATCTAGATAGGTACTAGGACACTAAGTTTAAAGTTATTTTAAACTTTGAATGGGGAACGTTCTATATAATCTAAGAAACTGTTAGAAATACAAAGTAGGTGCATTTATTTCAGCTTCAATATGATTTATTTAGATAATAGAATATAGGATTAAATATATGTCCATTGTTATCTTATTATGAATATCATATGGTATTTGTAATATAATTATGGTAATATTTTACCAAAGAAAAATGAAGATGTGCATCTTTGCAACTTTATTAAGGTGTAACATATAAAATAACCTGCACATATTTGACGTGTAAATTAGAAGGGTTTTGACAGACATGTGCACTTTTGAAACCACCATCGAAATCAAGATTCATAATCATCCTCCCAAAAGGTTTCTTGCAACTCTTTCCCATCTCTCATTCTACTCCCACCCTCCCTCAGCCACCTTTTTTGCCTCCTATCACCATGTTCTGTCTCCATATTACTTATACACGCATTACTTGTTTGTCTCTGGATTTTTTTTTCAGTTGAATGACTTTGTGGTTTAGGTTTTCAATGTATTAGTAGTGTGTTCTTTTTAATTTATTTCATTGAATGAATGAACCATGGTTTATCCATTTACCTGTGGATGGGCATTCGGATTGTTTCTATTTTTTGACATTATAAACAAAGTCAGTCATTTGTGTACGTCTTTGAATGGACATGCACTTCTTCTTTTGGGTAAAATACCTTGGAGTCAGAGAGCTGCATTATATAATAGGTATGTGTTTAAAATTGTAAGAAAACACTGCCAAAGTGTTTTCAAAGTGTTTGCACCATTTTATACGTCTACAAGCAGTATAGTAGAGTTATAGATATCTTACATCATTGCCAATATTTGGCATTGTTAGGGATTTTTCTTTTTGTTGTTTTAACAGTGCATATATGTGTGTGTGTGTCTGTGTCTGTGTCTGTGTGTCTGTGTGTGTGTGTATCTGGTCATAGAAATGTGTTTAAACAATTATATATGGTTACATAATTTCAAATTAATAGTCTATCAAAATGAAGATATTTTGTATCTTAGGAATTTTTAGTGAACAGTAAATTAATTAGATACTATTCAGTACATGAGTGCTTCCAGATCTTTCTACATTTCATAACTTTACACTCACTCTTCCTTCCCTTCTTTCTGACACCCAAAAAAAGTAAACATATCTCCTGAAAAAAGAAATTAACATAAGTCAGGGAGCAATAACCTTTGTCTGGGAAGGAGGGCAGCAGGTTTTCCACTAAGTTTAAAGACCAAAAGACTATCATTTGCTTTTTTTATTCCTAGTTTTTCTTTGTTAAAATATGAAAATACTTATCATAACCTATTTTACAAGATCCTTGTAATAATCAAGTGAGATAAGATGTGGGAAATTTCTTGGCCAAGTTTAAGAGCTGACTTAATTGAGTTATAATTTTAGGTAGAATTTTATTAGAACCCTTGGAAAAGTGTGGTCACAACATTTCTCTGTAAGATAAAGAATGTGCCTGAGAATTTCAACAGATCATATAAAATGGTAGTTTTAAGTAACTTCCACATAAAGCTTGAACAAGCTAGAAATAAGTTGTTCAGCTACATAGAATTTTTGAGCTTTGCTATTACATTAATTCTCTTAGCTGAAGTATGAGAAATCATGATAACTTTGGCCCATTATATTTCTAGTAAGTATTTTCAAATTAACCATATCTATCTAGAGTAGATTCATTTTCCTGTTTAAAACACAAACAAATTCTTATTTTTGAGGATGACATATATGTATTGCAAAAGAGATAAATTTTTGAAATTGAGAGGTTTGTGCTAATAAAATTACATCTTTTGAAAATTCTAGATTGAGTTTATTTTTAGACTGTTTATTTTTGTTGAATTTTATTTTCTGCTAAAATATACATAACTATTGTGGTTAAACTGTTATGAAATCATATTTTATTAGTCACAAAGCAAAAGTTTTGTGTAAACATGTCTTTTGCAAGTCATAAAAACAAGTCAATTTTTATAATATTCTGGAAGCAGGTATATCTGTTAATGTTTAGAAATTTCTAACCATCAAGGTTTTACAGTTTAAATTATCTAATTTTTTATTTCTAGATTTGCCTAATACTGGCTGTGTGACTGGTAAATTAAGTCCTCAGAGCCCTAGCTTAGCAATTAAAAATATTAAAAAGATAATAATGCCTGGTTAATACATTTATTTTAAGGATCTCGTGGACAATAGCTACAGCTAATGTGCGTACAAAGCTCTGGCACGTGACAAGTATTTCACACAAAGTAGCTCTACCTACTGCTCCTCTATCCTCTCTGCTCTCCCCACAAATTAGCGTCAATGTGCTTTGTTTCTCCTGAGTATACTTCCACATAAAATCAATTATTTGTTTAACAGAGGTTAAGATAAAATTACCACAGAGTCACACAAACTCTCTGTAGAAAATATTTAGAGTGAAAACCCTTCAGATCCTTTGAGAACGAGACTGGTTATTTGGAAATATTCTCAGTGCTGCCTTTATACAGTCATAGCTTTCCAGATAGAAACTGTCGATGACGCCTAAAGTTAGCTTGACTTAGAGCGCATTTGGTAGTTGGTGTAGTTGGTGATAATTGTCGGAGGATGAGCTTCAAGTAAATAAGCACTGTCTTAAGGTTTTAAAAACAGGTAACTCTTTAAGAACCTCAGAATGAGGCTTCAACCAACACAAAAAACCGAGTGTTTTAATTGCCTGATCACTGAACATTGGACGCAAGCACTCAATCAGATTTGCACTTGCAAGTTCTGTGTTAACAACTACTCAAGATCATTGAAGAAGGGGGGCGGGCTGGGATGGGAGCAAAAGACAGAAAACTGTATGTAAACAATAATTAAATTTCAAATAAATAAATAAAAGATCATTGAAGAAGAAATTATCAGTTATGTTTCCTGTACCATTTATTTACAACTTATTTATGTGCATCAATTTAAACTTAAGCAACCTCTTTTCTAGTACACTACCTTAATGCCAGTTCATAACTGGATAATGGGTTTTCTGCTTCACAGCAGCAGAAGTTACTCTCCCTTTTCTGAGGTTTATTGACTAGTTTCTTCACCTTCTACTGTCACCCTCCACCAGCTGAGGGAGCAAGAGTCCTCCTCTGTATAGGAAGCAGCTCCACCCTCCTGGGGATTTTCACAGGTTCATCTCTGTTTCAAGGTCAAGCAAGTGTTCTCTCACAACACACTTACTCTGAAGTTTTATTGTATCCAAGAAGTTCCACCACAGTGCTTATGTTTTAATGACATACATTTTTAAAATTTTTCTTGAACATGTATATGATATGCAGATTCTCTATTATGTTTTGTCCATCCATTTACTGAAATTTGTTTTTTTTTCCCTAAAGTATGGAGGTTCCTACAGAAGTAACACCTGCTTCAGGGTGGTTTGTAGGGTAATAATATGGGTGTAAGGATTTGTAGTTTCAATTCGAACATTTAACCTAAAATGTCATATGGTATACTTGAGTGTTATACTGTTGTATTACAGAATTACATGTTTATGATTTTGTAATAAAATATTTTATAATGAAAAGGGGCATTAGTTGTGCCAGATGCTATACATACATATTAAAATATTACAATGCAAATATAATCCCTCTCTCTCTCACACACCTCCCCCCAAGGAAATGCTAAGTGACTCAAGTGAGACCTACTTGGAAAACAGAAATGCTGAACATAGCTCACTGTCTCACTGCGAGAGGACACTTGTCAGTTTTCTCCCTGGCAATGAGATTTTTCTCAGCCACAGCCATGTAAATGACAATGTTCATCTGTTCTTTTTATGTTATTTGAATAATTTTCTCCTATAGAAATGAAACTTGTCAAAAGTTAACCATTTGGAGCATTTTAGTTAAGTGACCTTTTTGAAAGAGTGAGGTCTCTTCAGGGAAGTGGTAACTTTTGATATAAGATCTTGAAGGGTTTCATCTGTGATCAGAGGCTGGGCATCCACAGGCTGTTAATGGCACATGACTCCATTTGAAATATTCAATAGTTAGATTATCTCATAACCTTGTTTTTGTGTTTGTTTGGTTGGTTTTAGAGAATCAATACTTTAACAGATAATATAAATGTCTCAATTAGGTGTGATGTTGTAATTTCCCATGTAACTCAGATTAGTAGTATAATGCAAACATTTATGCAAAGTGTGATGCTAATTAAAAATATGATTTGCAAAACTATAGAAGCAATGCTGTATTCTCTGTGTCTTGGTTGGAGTCCTTTGTCTTTAAGAAATTATCAAACATGCTTGTTTAGTATGAATACTTCTTTTTAAGTAGATTTTATTGATTGTGCTATTACAGTTGTTTCACTTTCTCCCCTTTATCTCCCTCTGCCCTGCACCCCACTTCCCTCTAGCCTTCCCCCCTTAGTTCATGTCCATGAGTCCTACACATAAGTTATTTGGCTTCTTTATATTCTGTGCTATTCTTAACCTCCGCCTGAATACTTCCTTTTTATAAATCAGAGACTTGCACTCTGGAGCATTGCAATAAACCTATAAATTCATTTTGCTTAGACAAAGGTTGAAATATGTACCAGGCTTGGGGCAAAGACGAGCTCACAGCTATCTCTTTCATCACATTGCTTTAAACATTTGCAGCTTTTGACTTGTCTTGCAAATCATCTGTATCAGTCTATTAATTGTTTTACTCTACCTGATATCTAACACAGGTGTACCTTGCAAACTAGCAGGAGAAAGCCCATTTGTTGAAGTCCTCCCGTGGCTTAACACTGTGGTTAATCTCCTTGCAAATTATAGGCATAGTTTTGCTCATCCATTCCGCTGAAAAAGACCAGCTTCCCAAGTGGCCTTGGTTCCTTTTCCCCCGGGAGACCCACTGACCCTCCGCGTGAGTAGCAGGTGCACTGGGAGCAGCCCGGTCCCTGCTAATCAGGTCAATGATTATCTCCAGCTCTGGGGACCTGCGAGGAGCCGGTCACAGCGGTTAGGGAGCCTGCAAACGCAGCTCGTTCACTGAGGATCTCCCGTTCAGGAACATCGCTTAGTCCTCACTTACTCCCTGGAACCTCTGAGGATTTCAGGTTTTTGTTGTTGTTATTGTTGTTGTTATTATTTTCTTTTCTCTTTTTCTTTTTTTTTTTTGTTCCGGCCCTTTTAGACAGTGAGGGGTTCAACATAAACAGGAAAAAAAGGCACAGCATGCGGCTACTTGAAGGGTGTTGATTGAAAACTTGGATCTCCCCACCTCATTCACGGTTGATTTGACTGGTTTCTCACCTCGTTCACAGAGAGTATTTCAATTAAGGTAAGTGCTGCTGGCCCTGGGTGACTGCATCGCGCTGAATTTCTGCATTGAAAGTTCTGACTGACTAAACCAACGGTCTGCACTGCAGCAAGTGACTGTTTACACCAGGAAAAGGCTTAGTGTAGAAGCCAGGGTCCTACAAAGAAACTGGCATGTGGATCATGTCATTCCAGACCATTTCTTTTGAAAGAATAGCACCCCTGCCTTGCATCAAGCAAAAGAAGATATGACAAAAAGAGTTCATTTCACATTTTACTGTTTTCATAATCTGGAGAACTATGCAGGGCTAAAGCAACTTGATTTTAATTGAAGTATTTTGTTCATGTCATATGGTGAAATCTCTAATTCTAAAAGCTTCAAAGTTAAATTAGATGGAAAGAAAAATTTGCAAGTGAGAGTTGAAATCTTGTTCAGCTTTCTACTTTAACAACATTCCTGAGCTTTCTTTGGGTTAAGGATTTGGGACTAAACTCTTGAATAATTTAATAGTTTTCATTAAGGAATTAAAATCTAAATGATAAAGTTTCTGATGTAGCTATTAAGAAAAATGAACTAAAACAATTGTTCTGTGACTGATATGATTTATAGTTTTAATCCAAGAGAGAACGCTTTGTGACATAGATTAATAAGAAGGAAAGTGAAGAAAAGTTAAATTCTTCAGGAAGAATTCTTCAGTAAGAGATTAAGTTTATGTGTTTATTGAAACTATGGCTTCTGTTTGAGGTTGCACTTTGTTATCCAACCAGAGTGCGGTGAGGTAATGCTTGCATTTTGCACAGCTCAGAGCAATCATGTCTGTAATTCAGGTAAACTAGTCCATGCTATTTCTTCTAAACACATTTTCCTCATAAGCTTGTTAAAAATGTCTACAGAGAATGAAAACAACTTTTCTCCAAAGTTTGACTGGATTATCTGACTCTCTCTTTTCCACTTTGCTGTGCACATACACATGTAGCCTGATGGTTTCATCCAACATTATGATAAATTTCTATGTAATCAAGAATTATAAAATAATTCTATCGCTGTAATTATAAATGAGTGATAGGTTGTTTAGCACTCTAAACACATGAGTAAATAATAGCAACCACTTTGTATGTAGTGCTTATACTTCAAAACACTTTTCTGATAATAAAACACCCATATTTTAAAATATAAACATTTATCATTATAAGATACATACTTACAAATATTGAATTTCAATAACTAATCAGTTATGCTAAAGCACTATGGAAATATCTATCTGCTTTTGTGTAGAGATTTATAGTGGTTTCTTTAATGTGCTCTGTAGAATGAGAACTCATATTTCATGGCATGTTGATTCCACCTTCCTCTTGTGGGTATCCTGATACAGGACATTTTATTAAGATGTTAGAACATGGCTTATATTAATTGGGTATCTTTCTGAAATTCTCCAGAGGGCTTTTTAGGCTAATGCTGATATTATCGCTTCCCCCACAGGAATAAACTGTATTTAGAATACCCATAGGGGCTGACTTGTACTTGCTGGTTGTGTGTATGTTTTCAGCCAAAGCCTGGAGACATTTGTGCACCCTCTGCTGCACAGATCTCTTTTCTCTGGGGGAAATCATTTCTCAAGTGATTCAATGAGACCTGAGAGAAGAGTGTGTTGACCACAGTTACTGTCACTGGGTCTTTGGAGTTTTCATTTTTCAAGCAACTTTTACAAATAGGAAGAGGCAACACTAACCAAATAGGTTCACATTTGGTAGTAACAAAACTGGGACATTGCTAAAAACACCTCTGTATTTTGGACTATTCCTCCTTGTGCCATGTTCAGAATTGATGGTGGTATTCTACCCAATGAAATGGGTAGATGTGTTACTTGATGTATTAACCATTGAAAGTATGGGTAGTGTATAATGAACTATTTATATTTAAAAATAAAGATAACTATAATTCTTAATCAAAATGATATAGGTAAAGTTTGAGTGGGTTTACTATTATAGGTATTGTCTTAATTTGCATTATACAGGCTGAAAGGGAATGGGTAAAATCTTGTGTATAGTTGAGAATTAGGAGCCATTTATATCCTGTAGCATCTGCCTCCTCAATCAGACTTCATTTTCCGCTCCTATTATTCCTAGGTGCTACCTTACCTCCAGGTTCTATATTGAATCCAATTTTTCATGCATTTGACAGTAATTTTTTTCTGTGAGATGAGAAAACCTCTTATAGAATAACCTCAATTAGAGTAAGTGGTTTCAAAATTTAAACCAAATAAGTCTGTTAAAGCTTTATAAATGCTGCCTTAAGATGTATAACCTGCTCCTGAGAATGAGGTATTTTCGATAAGACAATGGAGAGGGGCAGTGTCTAATATGCCTGCTAAATGCCAGATAGTTAGGGTCCAAACTTTATATGTGTGACTGTATAATTATGAAGTCAAAACGATGACAAGGAAGTTATTTACATGTTTTCCAGATGAGGAGACACAGGCTGGGAGAGGATATGTAACTGGGCTAAGGGCATACCAGAGGTACCAGATCTGTGTTTCAAGCTCAGCTCAGGCTGTGTTTAAAGCTTACAGTCTTTATGCTGTACTTATTTATCTCCTTGCATATGGTGTCTTTTTTCAATATTTGATGTGACGCTCTTGAATATTTTAAAATAATTGTTAAGATAGTATAGTTTGATTATATTATCCTCATAATAGTTTACCTCTTGGCAACCTCAAAGTAAATGATTTTGTAAATTTCAGACACCAGTGTTTGAAACAAGCATATATTTTACTTTTTAGATTCTGAAATGGGTTAGTGTTCAAGTCTTTGCACCAAGCTAATTCTGATTAGCATTGACAGAAAGAGCACTCTATAATATGGATAATAAGAACTGAAATTTAGTATCTGTAATGTGTCCATCTTTCCAAGAGGAGTTGACATACTCTCAGAATAAAATCAAATAAAAATAGATATAAATATGATATGCTTATTGTATTGAATTTAGATTAAAAAGAAGTTAAAGAGAACTGATGTTCATGAAAAAAGCTAGTCACAATATTAGGAAAGATAAAGAAATTAACAGTTGCAATTGAATGTTGAAAGGTGGGTTAAAAAACATTTCAATGTACAAATCTATTTGCTCTAGTGATTTTATATAAACTTCCAATTTTTACAGAGATAAATTATAGCTTATTACACTGATATTTTAACAACAATATGAGGGAGGGAGCTAGAATTATCTTCGGAAGGGTGGGCTCCTCCCTTCCAAAGTACAGGCTTCCTCCACTAGGTGAGTGTTCTAAGAACCCATCTGTTTCAGTCTACCAGCTGGTATTATTGTGAGAGGCTGCATTCAGATTCAGTGAATTTTTTTCAACTCTTTCAACACATCTACTCATTTCATGATGGGTGATTTATGAGCAAATCTGCCCACACCCTGCTGACTGTTCAGCAGTTTTTGACCAGAAACAGTATGACCCTCATCCCCACCCTCCCTCTTCACCCAATTTCATCCTAAGCAACTTTTTATTTTGTTTCCCTGGTGAAAAAAATCCTCAAAGGGAAACGTTTTACAAATTGGGAAGAGGTAAAAAATATCAGAAGCATTAAAAGGCATCAAAATTCATGGATTCAAATACTGTTTTGAGCCCTGGCTGGTGTAGCTCAGTGGATTGAGCGTGGGCCTGCGAACCAAAGGATCGCGGTTCAACTCCCAGTCAGGGCACATGCCTGGGTTGCAGGCCAATTCCTTGTGGGGGACGCACAAGAGGCAACCATACATTTATATTTCTCTCCCTCTCTCCTTCCCTTCCCCTCTAAAGATAAATCAATAAAATCTTTAAAAAAATAAAATTTAAAAAAACTGTTTTGAGTAGTGGAGAAAATGTCTCAATAGGTATATCACATCAAATGGAGATTACTTTGAAAGTGACTGAAGTTTAAACATGTAAGAATAAATACACAATTTTTATAAATGAATTCATTTTTGGAACTCCCTTCATATACCAGACACAATTGATGTATTCTGTTATGACTAGAAGAATAATCAAGAATATGAATGTATAATATCCAGCCACTAACTTACTTGCCCTTCTCTGTGAGGGCAACTTCTGTAAGTCCCCCCAGTGCCACAGATGAGAATGAACATGACAGAGATATGACATGATCTGCTTGGGGAGGAGGAGTGGGCTGTGGCCAGTTCCTCGGAGGAGAAGAAGACCTCGAGCCCCCTCCTCCATAGCCTTTTATTGGGTTGTAATACACAGGAATACAGGGCGGCAAGGATCAAACAGTAGATAACATTACAAAGAGATCTGAGGGCTTCAGAGTCTGAGTCTGTCCGTCAGGAAGAGAGTTGCAGAAACTTTGGGAGACATACTCATTTCCTCTCGGACCCTTATCATATGAATGAAAGCCCTCTTAGCAGAGCAGATTTCACAGGTTTATCAGCAAGTCCTTGTGATGCCAGATTTTTCCCCAGGACACGCTCTAGCAAGGCAAGGAGCTGCACCTCTCCCCAACAGGTATTCAGGCTTAAGGGGATTAGAGCCAGGAAGTGCTTCTCCCAGAGAACATGGGAACTTGGGCTGTGTGAAAGCCGGGGGAGGGGGTCAGAGTCCATTGCTCTTTGTTCTCTTTATTGCAGCCCCCTCCCCCAAGTACTTCCATGAAGGCCTCCCAAGTGATCGAGTCTGGCTTAGGTTGTCCCCCGCTGTGAGGGGTCTTACCAGTCACTGACTTCCGACCAAGCTTTGGGGGCAGAGAGAGGAACTGAGGCAGCGTTTGCGGCCAGAAACAAGCTTTGTCTCCTGTCGCTGGCATTCCATAGGTTGTCTCTCGCCCTGAGCCACAAGGGATCAGGATACAATTCCTAAAACTAGGCAGAGAGGTCTACAACAATTCTGCAAGTTTTATGTTAAGCTATTGGCTTATTCTGCTTGTGCATAAGAATGAAAGAAAAACAAAGTATATAGAGATAATCTCCTTTATTACTATTCTGGAGGAATGAACATGACATAAAAAATTGATGTTACAGAGGCG